ATAAATATTTTTGTTCGACTCGGTTCAACTCTCTTTATAGAGACTTTGATTCGATTTTCTCTAGATATATTTTCATTAGATTAGGTTTAGAAATATTTGTGTTTGATTCACTTTAGTAATACTCTGATTGAGCTTTCCTTATGGATGTTTCTAATGAATTTGATTCAACTAATAATTTTTAAATTATATTAGTTATGTTAAATAATTTTTTTTTATCTGATTCGATTGCGTTTCAAAAAGACACGAGTTGATCTCAAATCTGTTTACTAATAGCACTGACTTCAGAAATGTTTCATTGAGAAAAATATTTCACATGATATGAAATGTTTACGGAGTCTAAAAGAAAAAAAAACAGTCTTTTCATGTTTGACCGTTGTTGGATGAAAACTCTGATAGAATTTCTCGAGTGAAATCCAAATCTATCATTTTTGTGGCATAACTAAAGGAAGATAAACAGTATTTAATAACTTACGAATGAACATTCGTAGTTGTCACAATTTCCTAGATAATCGAAGAAAAGACAGACAACAAATAATATCGCAGTGTTTCGTCTAGTTGAGTCGAATTTTTATTAATGAACTCTCTATGTAAACAAAAACAAAGTGTCTTGTTTCAAGCAATTAGTCAGTAGGAAAAAGAGCTATAGTTTCCTCGGTCATCGACAGCGCGCACTCTTAACATCACCATATATATATAAACGCTGTTTTATAGAGATGCTTATCTATCACTGATTGAAAATCATGGTTATAGAACAAGAACATAATAAATTTAGACATAGTAAAGCAGTAAGTCAAATATCCCCTGCTCAAGTATAAATACAAATATTCTAGTTCTAGTTCTTATTTGATTTTCTGAGTAGTTATTACTATGGACTAACGTATTACACAATGACAGCTATTGTATTCGATGATACAAGCGATAAATGAGAAAAATACGAATATACTATAGATCTTAATACAGATATACCTTCTTCTATAACTAATCTTGTATGTCACCTATATAAAATTAGCTAGGGGTTTTGACAAAATGATTTTTGAGAATTACTCGTAGTTAATTCATTCTTTCATTGAAATAGTGTTTTATATAAGATATTTATATATATCATTCAGATAGTAAAGAATTATTTCCATCTCATTTCCATACTCACTCAATTATATGAATTTTGAATGGAGCCAACACAGACAAAAAGATAAAAAATTACTCTGTCAACGAAAAAATTCTTATTATTTCATACTTTGAACAGAATCTTGTTTTAATTTCATCAGTATTAAGAAACAAGGAGATAATCATGTACAATATATGGTGGGTATAAATGTAGATAATATTTTCATCTAAAGCGTTTCTACACCCACACTCACACCCTCAAAACTAGGTTTAAATAAATGTATATCTGATTTCGAGAAAGCATGGATGATTAACAATGAGTCATAGAATTGGTGTATTTTAACATGAGAAGTTGATAAATCGTCATAATATTTTTAATGCAAAATGATTTCTCTTCTATTTGAAGCAACTAAAACAATCAAAAAGACGATAGAAGTGCGAGAAAAAAGAATTTATCTACCATGAGAGTGCAAAATGTTAATATTAGAATAGAGGAAGAAGATGACTAGTTGCCTAACTCCTAGCAATTTTACCATCTTGTCGTTTCACTATTACATGACTAATATTAAAAAGAAAAGAAAAAGAAATCTAAATGGCAACATAAATAAATTTATATTCAAAGACTAAAAAGATTTGTTCGATTGCCGAAATTTGGTATCATTTTTTCAGATAAGTATTATATAAATGTGATTATATAATTAGATCAAATGATTTGTCTATATTGCATTTTAATTTTTAAAATCAAGACATATCATTATAAATATTTAAAATGAACATTCAAATTATTCAATCAATTCAAGATTAAATTATCTTCATAGGAAAAATAAACAAGTTCTGCTTTGACCATATCTATCTGATTGCTTTAGGCACATTATGATGCACGTTTTTCTACTAGTATCATATTAGTGCGGAGAACGAATGAGAGAACAAGAAAGAAAAGGTATATTTTTAAGGAAAAAAAAGAAGTATGGTGTGATAATATTATCATCATTATTTTGCGCATACAGTAATGTTCATTGGTTACTTTGTGTATAATTACCTGTCAGCTATACGAATGATGCATAAGAGAGCAAGCACATAGTGGTTAAATTATCACAAGAAAAAAGAATAATCCACGTGTTGATATTATTCTCATTATTTTTCGTGATAGGGTTGAATGCACGAAGAAAAGCCGCTTTTTTATGTATATGCACAGAATAAGATCAATACGAAAGTAGTATTCTTGTCGTGATCAAGGAATATTATCTACGAATACAACGAGAAAATGTATGTATATATGAAAATGTAGTCTGTCTAAATTTCTTTCGTAATAAACATAGAGAAGATTTTTCTGTGTTTAAATAGTACCATTTACTATATGTATATGTAGTGTTATTCTCTTATCATGGTAATTATTTTCTGATGTTGAAAACGTTTCGATACTCTCTATCAAATAGATAGCAGAGACCAGCTACTATAAATCTAATCGTTCCACAAAGAATCTGTATTTATTATTGTCAATTTAGTTTTTGTTACTTCTATCTTAGATATACAACCTTTTGAAATTCTATTCCTTTGTCACTCGAAGAAGTTTGATCTCGCCAACTATTAAATAACATACAGTATTAAAAACAAATACTCTATAGTTTTTGTGGAAATAGCACTTGTTCAAATCAGTAATAACATTTTAATGTCTCCTTTGATTTATAATGAAGAGTGAAGTTAAATAGAGCGTTTATTTTGAAAAACAGAGTCCTCATTATGCTGTATTTTATTTTTTACCTTCTGACAACTCAATTTTTGCATGCCTACGATTCTTCTAAAGTTTTGAGAAAATCATTTAATCGTAGTCGCACTTAAATTTTTTATAGTTCTATAGAACCAAGTGTGATGCATAAACCTTTTTTTATCAGAACCTATGAGAATATCTTAGATATTCAAGATGTTGTCTGCCAATCAATGTCAAAACCAGACTCAATCGAATGGTACTGTTTTGAAAAACTAGTCATCAAGTTTTTATTCAAATATATGATTCAATGTGCTTTTTCTGATCGTATCATTTTCAGCTTTAAAACCGATGTCTAATGAAGTACCTTTGCTCCAATCACTTCTCGTAATAGTCATTTTACGTCTTTTTCGACTAGTATTTGACGACTTTCGAGTACAAGAAATCTCCATTGATTTCAGACAAATCTTATATTCCAAATCTTTAAGAAAAACTAAATTAACTCATGCATGGTAAAAATTGTGTGAGGAAGTTTTTTCGATAAAGCTTCTGTTTGTCATATCCCTCAAGGATATATCAAAAAAAGGATACGAAGATGCATGTGGGATGAGAGGCGAGTATGGATTAAAAACAGACACATACCCATATTCTAATATTTCACATTTTAATTAGAAGAACAGTAATATTTAATGAAAAATAACATTCAGAGAAGGGGAATTCTCATTTATTGAATAATTTCTAAGAGAAAGAGAATCAAACTTTTCCGATTAGTCCTTTCCCGACGGATATTCCATATGTGGGACAATAGAAATTCTTTGAGATAAGCTAGAGACGAGTAAAGTTTCACAGCAAACATGCACTTAGAATGCAAAGATATCAGCATTTGTTCATGGTTTGCTCCAAAAAAATTCGAACAACGTAATTTTTTTTTATCAATCTAGATGTTATATTTATGCATGCTCTCTCTTTTTCTCCTTCGACTACTGCTATAGTATGACACCATCACACCCTCAAGATGCGTGATCTAAAGTAAGAAGCAAAGACAAGCTAAAAATGCAGAAAACACAATATTGACTGATGCGTAGCACCTTGTTTTGAGATGTATCATGTATTCAGATACTTTAAATAAAAATTATATTATAAAGATTATAATAAAAGCTACTTTTCTCTTAAATAAGAACGAATGTCTTACTAACAACAATTCTACCATAGAAGGTTTTAAAAAAGAAGGTATGAGTACGAGCCAAAAGAAGACTTACCAAAGTCCTACTCTATGAGATTGCCACAATAATCGCTAACATTATCTATTCGAGGGAATGCAACTTTTCAGTTTATATATGTCAACACTCGTTATTGATTGTGTTTCATTAAATTAAGGATGTAAGTGCATGTAGATGCGTATTGAGTTAAGGGAAGGATTATATTCTTCTGTTTCTTTCTTATAAAAATTCTGAAAAATCATTCAGCAAATCTATAGAACTCGATTAAATATAACAAGTTTAGATATGTTCGATGTATTTTTCATATATATATTCATCGGTTTCGTCAGAGAATAATCTTCTTACATCAAACCAGTTCTAGAATATGCTATATTCGAACAATCTCAAACTCATGCTTTTAAATGCAGTTTCACACAGTAAATCTGAGTTTATTAACATTTTTTTTAGCTCATTAAAACACGCAAATAGTTTAACAAAATAATTTTCAATTTATTCGATTTCTCCTTTTCTTCTCTAAAAAAAAACATGCAAAAGAAGAAAAAACTTTAATTTTGAATTGCTCGCATCTTATACATCTCTATTATTGAAATAGGATATCTTACCTACAGAAAACATAAGAGTTGTTCTTTCAACACATGAAAAAGATTGCATAGAGAATGCTTTATTGAACAATCAATACGAAGGGTGAGTGTGTGGGTGTCATCCTCATTGAGAAAAGTTTTTCGATTTTTTCCACCAAAAACCACTTCAAATACATTTCAAAATATGTTTTTTACCTACGATCGTACTTCCTTCCAAAATCCTAGATCTGCCACCGATTTCAATAGGAAAAAAAAAGAATTTTTCCTTTAAAATTCATAATGACGACAGCACAATTGTTTCATGCCTGTTCACTCTCTTAGTATTTTTTCTTCTTTGTTTGCTTTTAGTTTAGTTTGACTGATTTTCTTTTGTATTCAAATAAATCAGCAATGGAAGAGAATATCGCTCAGAAACTACGACATGTTCAAACGGTAACTGATAGATGAAACTATGACAACATCTTATGATTGTCTTTTTTTTTAAATATTTTAGGCAGTTGAAACTTTAAAAATTTGTCAAAATGATCCGTAAATTCAAAAATATTTTCATTACTAGAGATAACTATTTATTTTTCTTTTGGCATTTTAGACCAAATGAGTTAACTAACAATTATGGTTTTATCAAATTTGATGAAAATATAGTTGATGCTACTACACGTCTTTCACAATATATAAGGTTAAGTCTTAATACAAATGCTGCAACAGTGGTTAAATTTATGCAACAAGGTTGGTGTTTACCAAAACCTGATTTAATTATATCTGTGACTGGTGGAGCAAAAAATTTTGATATGTCAACACGTCTTAGAAAGATATTTCAAAGTGGTTTAGTTTCTGCTGCTATTACAACAAGTAATTACAATTTAATTTTACTATAGATAATTAATAACAACTTTTGATTGCATAGATGCATGGTTAATTACAGCTGGAACAAATACTGGTGTTGTTAAAGAAGTTGGTGAAGCTCTTAATAAATATCGTTATAAAAATCGAAAAAATGGTGTTGATGTACCATGTATTGGTATTGGTAGTTGGGGTTATACTACAGGAAATGAACAACTTGATTGTCAATCGACAACTTTTTCTACAGATGCAAGTACTATAAAAGAAATAGTTCCATCTATGAGACATCGTTTTAATAAAATAACACATACTAATCTTATGGTTAGTAGAACAATTTATTTGAGGAAAAATATGTTTATATTTAACATAACAATTTAGGGTAATGATCATCAATATGCAGTTCGACATTATACTGTCAAAGAAAAGATAAGAAAACGTTGTGATTTAGAACCTAATCATACTCATTTTTTATTATTTGATGATGGACAACCAAATGCCGATACTGTTCTATCATTACGAGCAGAAATTGAAAAGTATTGTCGAAATACATGCATAGATACTGATACAGACGGAACAGTTGAATCATTAATACCTATTGTTATGGTTTTGGTTGAAGGTGGTCCATCATCGATTCGAACAATTTGTGAGGCACTTGATTCGAATACACCAGTTGTTGTTATCAAGGTATGGACAAATTTGAATAATATAAATGAACTTTTATTGATTTTCAAAAGGAATCAGGTCGTGCTGCTGATCTTATTGCTGAATTACATGCTTGTTATACTGAAAGCGAGAATGATGATGATAATGTCCATCCTACACGACTGCAAACCAGTTTAGCTAAAAGTGGTTCAAAAGAAACAAAGATCAATGCGATGTAAGTTTTACTTTCAAAATAAATTATGAACAATGATTATCTCTATTTGCTCATAAAGTTTGACTAAAGCACAAGCTGCTATTACAGAACTTCATGAAGTTATAGATAATCTATGTCGAGTATTAAACGAACGTAAACAATTAGTGACAATTTTCAAATTTGATAGTAAACGATATCATGGAAATCTTGAAGATGCTATTCTAGAATCTTTATTTAATGGTAAATATTCCTTATTGATAAGAAGCTCTTTACAAAAAAAAAGAAGTTGATCTTTTTTATAGCTGCAAAATTTTCTGGTGATCATATTGAACGAAATCGTCGAACAGTAGAACTTAAATTAGCTATAGTAACTTAACAAGATAAACAACTAAAATAGATCTTTTATTTTATATTCATGTATAGGCTTGGCATAAATTTAATTATGCTCAAAAATATCTTCTTACTGATACAACAATATCTAATTGGAAAGTATGTCATCTATTTTTTTTTAGCTACCTATTTCTCTTTGATTAATAAATAAAAGGAAGATGATCTACAACGTGCTCTTTTCAATGCACTTCATCGCGGTCATGTTGATTTTGTTGAATTACTCATTGAATTTGGTGCATCACTTGAAAAATTGACAAATGGAGATCTTAAACAACTTTATGCAACAACATTGGTATATTGATTTTAACAACAAAAGTCTAGAAAAAAAAGAATGTTTTTTTCTGTTTAGACTAGTAATCGATTACCATTTAAAGGCAAAGGAAAAAATACTATATGCAGAAGAGAGGATTTCTATTCAGACTATTTAAATTTGATCTTTGTATGAAACATATTGATCTATTAATTGTTTTCTTAGGAATATCTTTATAGGATAATACAAACAAGGATAATAATCTTTTATTATTAGATGATAATATGTCATTAAGAATAGTTCGAAAAACAAATGATCAGTTTTTTTGATAAAGTTCGGTTTATTTTTCAAATGTTTATTTATTGAAAAATTATATTATTGTTATATTTAATACAATATGTGCATTTTTATTTGTCATCTTTAACGCGAGTCCATCGAGTTTATATAAAAATGACGATAAAATCAAAATACTTTTACAAACAATAAATATATAATAAATTGGGAAAATTATCTCGTCTCAGTGCTTCAGTAACATAATAATTCGTTGATGATTGTAGAGAAAAATGCAGTTACCACAATTGTTGCTGAATTAAAATGTTAATAATATAAGATCGTGAATCATCTATCAAAAGAAATGCTATGACCTCTAATATGTATTGGGTTCTTCTATCACAGCCTGGGTACAGTGAAGTAAAAATTTCTATCCTGTGTAGATTCATATTTCTTTTGAAATAGTGTTTTACAAAAAGATATTAGTTGGTTTTATTGAAAATTCATGGATATTTGTCTTTCTGTGATATTCTACACCTCAACTATTATTCGATTATGAAATTTTCGAATTATATCCTAGGTAAAGGCGGTCCACAGGAATTATTTTTATGGGCTCTTTTTCTTAATCGATTTGAACTGGCAACATATCTTTGTTCCAAAACTTGGGTAAGTTTTAAAGGATTAAACACATCAATTTCATATGCAAACTACTGTATTGAATATCAAATATGCGAATCATATGCAAACAAAATACTCATTCTAGCGAACAAACTAATGAATTAAAAATATGAACTATTCAATACTGAAATATTTTCAAAACTCGAAATGTCTAGTTTGACTTTTACTATTACCGGTTTATATTTTAAATTTTTTAGTTAATGAAGAAGAATGATTATTTAATCTATATGTATATTCAATTTTATTGATTTATTAATAACATAGATTCCACTACATAATAAAATTTTTATTAATAGAATTCATCAGTAGCACCATTATTTGGTGCATTAATCTATCGACGTGCAGCAAACTTAGAACTTGATGTCGATATAAAACAACAATATAAAGAAAATGCTAAGTAATTCGAATAATTTTAATTATTTATATTAATTCTTTTCGTTTCTAGTCAATTTGATACACATGCTATGTCAATTATTGATCGATGTTTGGATAATGATGAAAATTTTGCTATTAATCTTCTAAAACATCCTGCTGTTGCATTTAATGATATTTATCCATTACAATTAGCACGGAAAGTTAATTGTAAATCATTTCTTGCATCAAAATGTGTTCAAAAATATCTTGATCATCAATGGTAAGATTTGAATTTTTTTGTATTTCAAAAAGAAAATAAAAAAAAGATTTATAGGTTTGGATGTATTAATTATAAAAGAACGGCTATTAATTTTCGAGTAAATATTAAACAATAAAATAACGTATTAAATATATTTTTGTTTTCCAAGGTGTTTCTTTGTTCATTATTTTTTCCATTATTTCCAATATTTTGTATCTTTTTACCTTATACACAGAAACGTAAAAAAGTTAGTAAAAATTTGAAAAAGAAACATGAATATATTAAATAATTTTTTAAGATGCGTCGAAGTACTCAAAATCAATCAAAAATTAGTCAATGGACTGAGATGAATCATTTTATCGGGTAGGAAAATGATGATTATTTTATTTAAACAAAAAAAAAACAACAAAACTTATTTCATATTATATCAGATCTGTTCAGCAAGAAGAAAAAGAATATGTTTCATGGTACGATAAAATAAAATATTTTTATGAAGCACCTATTGTACGATTTTATTATTATACGGTAAAGATAATTTATATTATATAAACTTATCCGTCTTTTCTTTTTTTTATTGTTTCTTATTTCGATTAGATATTTTATATTTTATTTCTTGGCTTATTCAGTTTTGTTCTTCTTGTTAATTATTTTCCATTAAATATCTATAATGAACGTCAATCGGGTATTCAAATGTTACCAATACCGATAACTGAAATAATTCTTCATATTTGTTTTTGGAGTTTCATTATTGAAGAAATACGCCAGGTATTATAAATGTAGATTTTATTATTGAAATAAATTCTTTTTTCTTTTAGTTTTTATTTGTCGATTCAAAACTAGAATATATATCAGGAATATGGCATATGATTGATACGATTGGAGCGATATTATATCTAATAAGTTTTATTACACGATTTATTGTTCTTGAACCACTTTTTGTTGTATCAAAGTAAGTTGCAATATATTTTATTTTTCGATTCATCTTTGTTTTTTTTCAGAATATTCTTATCTCTTGATTTGATACTTTGGTATGTTCGTACATTAGAACTATTTGCTACTTTTGAAAAATTAGGACCGAAATTGATTATGATTTTTAATACAGTATGGATCTAATGATTTAATTAATCTTTTGATTATATTTTGTATTAATAGATGAAAGACTTACTATTTTTTGTTTGTTTTATTCTTATATTTTTTCTTGGATATTCAATATCATCATGGTCATTAATAACTACAGATAATCAAGTTTCTTGGAATTATAATAGTGATGGTTCAGTAACAAGTGATGGAAGTGGTTTATGGACATGGCAATTATTACGTGATGTTACAAATTTTGGTGTTTGGAAAATTTTTGGACAAGTAGATCCAATTGGTAAATATAATTAAAATTAAATATATAATTATAATAAAAATTCTTTTATTTTCTTTAGATGGTACAAACGCATATTCTGTTGTAACTTTTATATTGACTATACTATTTGTTGCTATTTCTAATGTACTTCTTCTTAATGTACTTGTTGCTTTATTTAAGTAAGACAAGAAAAAAAAAAGAAATTCTTAATAAAATATGTTTATTTTTTTGTTATTTAAGTGTTACAATTGAAAATGTTCAAATACAATCTCATCAAATATGGCGATATCAACGTTTTTTACTTGTTAATGAATATAATAATAAACCTCCATTACCACCACCTTTTACTACTATTTATTATCTTTATACTATTGTTTGCTATATAATCGAAAAAATTCAATGTTATCACCAAAAATGTCGACATGGTATGTTATTTAAAAACAACTATCTAAATAGAATATTGCCAAACATATAGTGTAGACATTTGAATATATATATATCTCATACACCCTCACAGAGATTGTGTATTGAGATAACGAAATAACCGTTAAAGTATATCTAATTAATGGTTCTTTATAAAATATAAATAAAATTAGCATTTAAAGTATAAAACCAAAAAAGTAATACATTACTCATGGCAGTAGACATCCTGAAGTAGAGTCTTTATTGTACTATATGAACTAATATGAATTTAAAAATACAAGAAAAATGAGTATTTTTGGAATAATTTTTGATAGGTGCCAGATAGAGATCAGCTATTTTTATCATTTCATAGTGTAAATGAAACTTCATTGAATCTTAGTATTAGTTTTTTCTGACAAGATTTTTTAGGCCCATTCATCACTGTTCTAAAGCAGAAAATATTCTGTAATATAAATATTTTAGAATCTTAATTTTAGGTAGGGCACCAGACTTGTACACTGAAGTTCAATAATTTAACCATAAGTTATTCATATTTTACTACTAGTTTTAGATAAATTTTTCATCAAATAGTACCGCTTTTTCGATTTTTTGACCATCAAGTCTTCATTCGAAACCAATTAAATAATCTCAGTTTTCTATAAAGCCTTGACAGATAACATAAAAATACGTTCTAGAAAAATCTGCATAGTACTTAAGATTGGGTACAGTTTTATTCTCCTTTTTTATATGGTGAAAACTACGAATCTCTATTTAGTTCTTATCAAAAAACAATTTAACAATATTTATCCTTCTTTTAATTTGCAATAAATATTAATTTCTAATTTCACCTCTAAATACTTAAGTAATAGGATGGTGATTTTGAAATGCATTGTACAATAAATAAAATGAAATCATTCTCCTTTGAATGATCAATAGCCTCTACATCATATTTAGGAAAATATCGAGTTGAGAGAGATGTTCAAGGCATCCATATACTTCTTGACATAAAAAAGTGTCTGGAGAGTAGTACAGGGTTAAAAAGACTATGCACATAATCAATGATTTTCTCTGCTGTTTGGTACTTCTCTCCTTAAAAATTTCTGACTATGCTTCTGCTTCGGACTAAAACTTTAGATTTCGGTATATTTCTAATCATGTTTCATATATTTTAATTGCATAGGGATTGTATTAACCTTTATATTTTTATATAATTTGTTCATCAACACTATGTTATCTTACTTGATTTTATAGGTGCCTGTGAAAATTCCAAGGATTCAATTGATTCAAGTGAAAAAAAAGTCCGAGAAGACTTTAAAAGTAAATATATTTCGTATAATTGAAATGAGAAAAATGTGGAACTTTTTTTTCTGCGAATGATAGTTAGTAATGCAATGCAACGTGAAAGTGCCATAGCTGCTGATTATTGGAGTTATATGTTAAAACATGGAAACAAAGATCCAGTTGAAGCTGCAATACAAAATATTGAACAAAAGTAAGATTCATAGTTCTTCTATTTTTATTTTATAAAAATGAAAAGGTTTTTTTCTTCTCAAGACTGCATGATTTGCAAGAACAGATACATGATATGATGAATACTGGACCAATAAGATCTATTCAATAAATATATATATACATTATTCTAGTTATATATTTTATTTTATAGAACTAAGATCAAGAATGGCTTTTATCTAATACTTAATATTGAAGACAATAATTTCTTCTTTTTCTTTGTGAACAATTTTCGTATACTAATTGTTGAAACCTACGATTGAAAATACATAATTGATTTCATGTAGAAGGTGGGTGTGGGTGGTCGGTGGTTGTGGATGCGAGTTCATTTAAGAGATTAACCACCCACACCCCAAGATTTCAATATTTACTAAATTCTTACGCAAAGAATCGTGAGTCGACTAAAACTTAACAGCAACAACTATTGCGTATTTAAATATTCTTGTTTGATGAATGAGTCATATCTAAAAGAAAATGTGAATACTTTCTGCTGTGGAGAAAAAAAAAAGATTCTTTATGAGAAAAGAACAAACTGATTACATTTTTTTTTCCATTTGTTCTTCTCTAGATCATCAGTGATTGATTCTAATTACGTCTAGTTTTTTCGTTCTGTTTACCTTTACCTTTACCTTCGTCTGTGTCATAAGATATTTACAACAGAGTTCTCTGGTGACTAATTTTTGAATGCAGTGAAAGAGCGAAAGTCGCAACAATAAAAGATTGAAATTCTCCAAAAGAACCAAAACAAAATTTATATAGAACTCATTTTTAATATGATGATAAGATCTAAAAATTTGTATCATTTCTTATTAAAATATTCTTGAACAAATGTCGACGATGGTGAATATGTGTCGACTGTCATAAATTTTACACTGATATAGTTAGGCATATATTATTGTATTAAATGTTGAATGAATTCAATTGAAGTTGATTTCAAAACAAATTTTTGGATTGTTTTAGCTACCTCAGTACGACTACGTTTATTAAAAACAATAATAATGCGTAGAAACATAAAAAAGAACGATCCATCATTGAACATGCAGACTATTTTTTTTTCTTTCGGAGCTCTGGGAAATAATTGCTTTCTATTCTTCTTGACAAACTTATGCGATGTCTAGGAGTACCTTATCGACCTATCATGTAGTGATGACAGTGTGTAATTGTGTGCTATACTGACCTATTTTATTTATAGAAAAACGCCACAAGCGTATGAATGGACCGGCCGTTATGAAAAAGTCACAGTAAAATATATTGATTTGATTAAATCTAAAATAGATGATTAGTTCTGTAAACAATGACGATGAGTGTTTACCATTAAGCAGGTAACCATGATGTTCCAAAACCTGATGCTGGCCCAAATTGAAAAGTAAAATGATTAGGATTCGAAAGAAGGCTTTTCTGCTGATAGCAGTATCGAATGCCTCGAGCTAATGAATTATAAGTCATCACTTGAAAAAGAAAACAGAATGATAATAGAGTCTTGAATTACTGATGCATAAAAAGCGAATGAATATACCTGACTTGGAATGGCGACCCTTGACATTCTGCCATACTTTGGCAACAGCTTCTCCATCATAGAGTTTAAAAATGCCTTGCTTTTTGTCAACATATGCAGCAATATGAACATAATCTTTATTATCCAGTAATCGTCGAAAAAATTGATGTAATAATTTTGGCCGATATAGTTGTCCGTTGGATTCATCTATAAAATGCCATTGATCTAGATTTATAGATCCCGATTCAGTTGACTTTCGATCTTGACACTTCTTTCGCGATTTTTTTGTGGAAGCTGGCAAAGTTGATGGATCATAATCGAATGTAAGTTGTGCATTAATATCAGGTATCATGTGGTTTGTCACAGTTGATCCAAAAGTAACATCTGGATAAAGGTTTTCTTCAAAATCGATTCCAATGATCGGAACCTGATTTCTCTGTTGATATTCAGTAAAATTGTGTTTCAACCTGAAGATCAACAGTGATGGGATCAAATTCTAGCTGGTCTGTCAGACGATCAACGTGGAGCAATGTTAATAGCGACATGGAAGGATCTTCAAGAAACATCGTTAGAGGATCATTCAGTTGCGTCCCTAATGGTTGTGGATATTGATCTAACCATGCAAAAAGATCATCTATACTATCAAGCGCTTTTTCTTCACTCGAACCTGTCCGACCAGCATATCCATCAAAAAGATTCAAGGAAACGAGACTGTTTGGCAATCGATTCATGCTATAGACCCGTTATCGTGCTTTATATATTTCATTATGAATAAAAGCTATGATCGCATACGCATATAATTATATAAATATATAGGCAAACCATTTTTACCTTTTTTCGTTTCTGCCTAACTTTGAAAAAGGCGACGAAGTTACACGTTTTGAAGTTGTAGTGCTGTTTTAGTTTCTTTTGTCCCAAGTATTGAAAATAGAACATAACGAAAAAAAAAAAATTCCGTCTCAATTTCTTCAAGACAAATAAAATCAAATAGTTAAACTTAACATTATACTATTTGCTGACATGGTAGAATAAATGTATCGAATTAAAATCAGTAAAAACAAAAAATCTAACGAAGAAATTCTTACTTGGTGATATAGGATATTTGTTTCTTTTACATTATATTACACGGATAAAATGTCAACATCTTCAATCTTTTCATTGTTAGTTGTTCTTAATTTCTGACAAGTTTTCTCGACCGGTAAAAATATACTTCGAACAATCATTTAATGTTTTTGCGAAAGTATTTTTCGCATAATATCAAGCTTTTATATTTGATCGACCAAATGAAAGCGAAAATTTGTTGTTCTTCAAAATATTTTTCGTTTTTTTCATATCAATGATGCCATGAGAAAAGAACATAAAAATGATGACTCATTATTTCTATATATGCGAGACTGCATGACTCATCAGTTAAAAAATGAAATTACCAGTTTAAGGGGGCCCCCTCTCAGAAACGAACTTTGTTATTTTTCATTCGGTTTCAACAAAAAGGGTGTGGGTGTGGCAGTGGATGTGGGTGGGTGTAGGTGTGGGTGTTAATGAATAGTACACGCACACCCACGCCCACGCCCACACCCACATTCATTAAAATGATCTTGACTTTTGAGACACCCTTTATACTATTTTTCAGTTTGAAACAAGATCAGATGGCTGCCTTGATTGTATTCTCTCATTACTGACTATCATCAATACGTAGGGAGAACAATAAAAAGAAAGAAGGAATGTACAATATAGTAGAGAATGGGAAGCATAGAGGCGAGAAGCAACATGCGTGACAAAATGCCATGGCTCTGGTATTCGCTTTACAACATATCTTCATATCCTCGTAATAAAACGTCCCACTCATTATAATACTACCGATCACAAAAAACTAGGGAGAAGCAAAAAGTTTTACAATAACAGATGCCATATTGTTAGCCGTGAGATGAATCATGTCTCAATTCGAGACACTTGAACTTCTGAAGAAATATTGACAGAGAAACGAGTTGTTTGACAAAGAATAAACATGAAAACAAATGAAAACTACAAAATAAAACAGACGAGATGATTAGGGTGTGGGTGTGGGTGTGGGTGTGGGGTGTGGATGTGGGTGTGGCTGTGTGGGTGTGGGTGGGGTGTGGGGTGTGGATGTGGGTGAGGCTGTGTGGGTGGGGTGTGGGTGTGGGTGGGTGTGGGTGTGAGTGTGGATGTCTTTTTTATATAGATTGGCCCACACTCACACCCACGCTCACACACCCACACACTCACACCCACTAGCACACCC